CTATAGCATCAGGAGGCAATTCTGGAAATATTTCAATATTGATATCTTGAAAATTCAGATGTTTATTTGCTCTTGCTTCAGTTAGAATTCTGTTTTTTATTCTTAGGTCTTGGAATGTTGCAAGAATATCTCGGGGCCCTCTTCTGGTGTCTTTATGTCGCTGCCCCAAATGGTGTGCTTTTAAGATTATAGGAGACAATCCATCTTCTAATTTTAAAACTGTAGCTAGCCATTGTGCAAGAAATATTTGCATGTCTTTATTTTCTTCAGAGCCCTCAGGAAAGCCCCTAAATTTTAGGTTGAATTGCAGAGTTTCCATTTCCAAGGCAAGAACTCTTTCGAGTTATTGCATCGTCATTTTTTATAGCTTTGATTTCAGCTTCATTTTGCATGCTTAGAAGTGAGGTGTTAGCAGCCTTATGTTCTACTTCAGTTAGTGCAAGCTTAATGTCATTAAGTTGGTTTTGTATGGGGTCAAACATTTGTTTTATCATTTCTAACATTCGGGATTCCATTTAACACATTTGTTTGAGTACATTTTGTGAGTCCCCATTACCTTGCTCCGATGTTCCATTGGCCATCTTGGAATTCATTTCTCCAGCAGCCGTCCGGATCAGTCCATTTTGGAATCGTTTTAAAATAGTATGTCAGCTGTCTGGAGTTCTTTCCAACAGTCTTGCTTGGTTCAGCTGCTTCTTCCATCCAAGTGAGTATATTTTAATTGCAGAGTGGTACAATTTTTATTGTATTGGGCCCGGGGAGATGCGGAGCTTCAAAACTATGCATCCGCCATTGTCGCTCCCAAACCACGCCCCCTACAGATTCACTTTGAAGACACCGGAGATAGGAAAATGTGGTTGGGACAATTTTTAAATAGGAGTGATGCTTTTGGACTTGTAGAAGAATGACTGTGGTGATGCAAAAAAGAGATGACTTTTCATTTTAAGCACTAGGATGTCGTGAGAGTTTTGACTTCTAAAAAGGCTGCCTTAAAATTACCACCTAATACTCTAATGTTTACTTATAGGAATTTTACATTGCACTCTCAAAGGTGTTAGTACATGCCAGTTGAAATAACACTTCATTTACATTCTCCGGAAGAGCACAAGACCTTCACAGGTAGACTCTGTTCCGATCATTAAGCATGATTTGGCAGAAAATTATCTCTCCTTATATATAATTGAATAGTGGGTGCCAAAGTTCTAATTCTAAAATGCACTCCCTTAGTGTATGGCTGATGGCACTGCTTCTCAGCATATATCGCCACCAATCAGAAGGCAAAGCCCGGGTCCCGCCCACACCATAACTGCTGCGACAACCTGGTCTTTTGCATATGGAAGCTGATTGGACTTCACTCCATTCCACACCTCAAACTCCCCCCCCCCAAGGCAGTTGGAATGTCAGTTGCATATGGAACCTGCTGTATTCTGGTGGTGTGCAGGTCCCAGGATCATGTTTTAAAAGCAGACTGACACTGTTTGCCCAAAGCCAGAGCACTCTCCCAGAGCCTCTTTCTAGATCCCGTTGTATTTATTTCCACAACGGGCCTTATTTCTAGTAGTTGATATTCCATAGGTCTAAATAAAAGCATTCTTCAGGGTGGATTTAGGATACACATTTTAAATGCAACCATAAAGTTACCCCACCCCTGCAAAATAATAATAATGATCAAGTAGAACATCATGCCAGGAGACTAAGTTAATGGTGATTTCCTTTACCTTATAGGTCATCATACGATGCTGAGCAATTATAGCCAATTTCTCCAGAAGCCCTCGTAACCTCTCCTGTGTAGCATGGGAGATCAAGCTCAGAACATCCGAATTCACTTCCATAATGTCATGCCTTTTACCTGTGGAGGCACAGAAAATCCATTACAGGTTTTAGTACTAGCTGATAATTGAAATAATTAGCACAGCAGGTATTCTGTTCCCCCTGGAAGTCATACCCATTATGAATAAAGGTTTGGAGATTGTGATTTTCCTGGTAAAGTCACAACTTCAAAGATCTTAGACATTACATTAATAAAACCTAGCCTACAGCTTCAGAAAATAGACATTGTTTCACTTAGCCTCTAGAATAATTTTCCTTGCAAGGTCATTTACAGGAGAAAGTTAATAAGAATACAGAAATCAAGCCTTGTGGTTCAGAAAAGGGTAGAAACAGTAGCTGTAGAAATTAGTGCCATATTCTGTTAATTTCAATAATTAAAAAGAAGTAGCAAATTACATTTTGCCCAGTTAACACTGCACTTGTTAAATCCTGACATGTTAATGAATGATTTTATAAATTTTTTGCCACGTACTCTAGGCATCTTCGCCCAGGCCCCTTTCACACCCAGCCCAATGAATAGCATATGGCAGGCTTGGCCCACACTCCCAAGGTAGCAGCTTGGGGAGGGGGGAAGCTAACCCAATTAGGTCTGAAAGCCTCCCCTTGTCACCTCTTCTACAACTGCAGCTTGTCTGGAGGAGCTTGATTTTGCCCTTTCTTCAACAGCACTTCCCTCAGTTTGCCTAGTAAGACCAGCACCAATGAGACCAGCACTAGCATACCCTGGAGTGGAGCAGTTGCTGGAGCCCAGGGATTCCGATGGAGCCTTAAGGCCATTGCCCTCCCATGTGCATGCCCTTCCCCCCACCCATCTGCTTGTGTGCAAGAGTTCCCTCCACCCATGCTTCCAGCCACACATTCTGCACTACACTGCCAGGGGAAAAGCATGTGTGTGACTGTGTGTGACTCGGAAGACAGCTGATGGACAGGCTTGCAAATGAGCTAGTGGGGAAGGGGGTATGGGCAGGCAGTGGCAGAGGGACATGTGAATGGGTGGGCACATGAAGGGGGCATGGTAGAGGGGATGGGAAGGAGGCCCGGGTACTCTCTGCCCAAAGTCCCCCAAAACCATGGGACAGACCCTGACTGCACCAAGGTAGATTAATTTAAATAGAGCTGTTTGGATCCAGGTCTAAGCATTCGCTTGGCTTTGCCCTCAAGTTTCTAGCAAACTAATCAAGATATCTTCTGGTTTGTCAACTACCCCTATCAGCAAAGGCTTAGTTGGACAGAGTGGCTGCCCTGGCAGTTTCAGTACGAAAAGCTTCTGTTAAATGCTTACCAAAGATCTTTTCTTACCCCTGCACACTCCCTCTGAAGTATGATGTCTGAAGAATGTCAAGTATACTGACGCTCAGATGGATATTTTGTGTTATGCCATGGCCTGTCAAAATCACAGCCTTCAAAATGGGCATGAGTATGGCTCCCAACTGCTTTTGTTAACAGCAACAAGAAACAAGGTCACTGTGGGCTGTGGGAAAATCTTCCCTACCAATAAATATGTTTAGGAAGCACTTTTGCTAGTCGTACTTAATTTCATTCTGGTAGTTTACAAAACTTTCGCTGAAATTAAGGTGCTGAGATCTGGTGGCAAACAACAAAAATGAGATCTCTTTACAGCAGCCCTTGGGGCACAGCCAGTGTGGCGGAGTATTTAGGATGCAGAACTGGGATCTGGGAAACTCAAGTTCAAATCCCCACTCTGCCATGGAAGCTTGCTGGGTGACCTTGGGATAGTCACGTATACTCTCACTGCCCAACCTACCTCACAGGGTTGTTGAGAAAATAAGTTGGAGGAGAAGAGAATAATGTAAGCCACTTTGGGTCCCCGGTGGGGGAAAAGGCGGAATACACATGAAACAAATAAAATAAAGATTTGAAACAATTTTGTCTGGCCTCTGGTGGTCATATTAAATTTCATTCCTAGTAAAAAATCGCCCCAAATTTTTTTCTCAAAGGAAAGCTGCTATGAGACCGTTATATGCCCTTTAATGCCTCATCTATTTGGAACTGGTCTGACATGTCTCTGCCAACGCTGAGTGCACATACTTTGCTACTGAAGTTCTTAACTGCTAAATGCCAAGCTTTGTTGTTGAAAAGCCTGACCATATGGGATCATTTTGTGGCAAGACACTTCTGTTTTCTGGACCACTGTGTTCTTGAGAACAGAATGGTCCTCCATATATACAGAATCTGGCCATCCAAGTTTTAATACTGTATGAGTTAACTTCCTTAGTATTGGGGGACTGAAAGATCTTTCACCAAGCTGTTTGGGGCTGGACTTGCCCTGTTATAAATGTCATTACTTTCCATAAGCAGCTTACCCAGAGACAGTTTGCCCCTTCAGCCAGATGCAAAGGTCAGAAGGTACTGCTGCTATTCTGCAGTCTGGTGAGGCAGCTGAAGTACTGATCCACCATGGCTTGGCAAATAGGAGGCAGTTTGGCACCAGCAGGCATAATGGGGCAACTGCCATCAACTGGGACTTGAAAGGAATGTATCAGAACTTGAGAACAAAGGTGGAGGTACCATAGGACAAAGTCACCTGACAGGAAAGTGAGTCCCACTCCTGCACTGAAACAGACACAAAAGCACTTCCATTTCTGTCTATAAGACCATCTGGAGATGGTTTTTTTTTTTTTAGTGTGCAGGAGTACTTTCCCTCAGGGCATATGAATGTAATCTTCATTCACTCATGAACGTAATATTCTTCCAGTAAACTCCAGGTGACCAGGTTCAGAATACGACTGGATGCAGAATCTTATTGTAGTTTTGAATCAGCAGGTGAAGAAGCTGGCCTGTTGACAGAAGTACCTTGGCAAACCCACAACCATCTCAGCACTAAGGGATGGTAAGAATGGGGGTGTACTGAGGAGCTTGGTATCAGCGGCTCTAGTGTCTGAAGATGTACTGGCAGTGTATCAGCAGCATTGTTTCCAAACAAGTTTCCTGCATAGCCAAGCGCTTTCAGCCCTTGCTTCAGAGTCTGAAAGATTTCACTTCCAACGGACAGCTCAGAGCCTGGAAGCCTTGCTTCCGTAATGAACATCAGCCAGTGGATGCATTCTTCTGAGACATAGGAGAAACTGATCAGTTAATAGCAGCTTTGCTCTGCATTGTCAACTCTCTAAAGTTTGTCCTCTACACAAAAGAAGGATGAAATCTCATTTGCAGAGGAGTCGCTAAACTATATTTACTCAAATGCTGCCTTGAGAGCATCTGGGCATAGAGCAGGAGTCACTTGGGGGTGGGGAGGGGGGCTGTGAATTTCCTGCATTGTTCAGGGGGTTGGACTAGATGACCCTTAGGGTCCCTTCCAGCTCTATGTTTTTAAAAGAAACTGAGTGGGAAGCTACTATTCCTCCTTCTCAGACACATGTTGGCAGGATTATAGCCCTACAGGGAGAAATTTCCATGTCTAAAAGCCAGCCCTAGAAATTTCCAAGCTGAAGCTCCAAGCAGGTGCAAAACTCAGTGCTGTACACAGAGGCCACAAAGAAGTATACCACAAAAAGTACAGGGTCACACTTTCAGCACTAGTACTTCAAAAGTATGCCATCATGTGTTATCACACAAACTCCATGACCTTCCTTCAAGCAGGTTCTACTACTCAATACAGAGTGATGTCAATGCACTGTGGAAATGGATGCATCATATTTAAGGCATGATGTAACTTGCCTATAGATGGGAGCATCTCCCAACTTTTATTTCTCTCACCTGTTTCTAAGACTTTCATTTTCAGCACATCTGCAGAAAGAAGTTGCTCCTCTGGGCAAGACTGGATAAGTGTGCCAACAGCATCAGAATTTGTTGCTAATATACATGCGCTCTCCTCACTCAAGTTGACCCCAGCCATAAAAGTCACATCATTGATATCATCTTCATCCCTACAAGCAAATAATTTCCATTATATTTGATGTAGGGCCATAAGGCAAACAGGGATGTCCCATTCGATACTGTCCATTGGAATCCTCACTTAGCATAAGGGAAGCATTATATTAAAGGCTGTCTATAATGGTACTGTAAAGAATCAAGATCAGTCAGGACTGTTAAAATACATTTGCCTTAGAAGTAGCTAGAATTCAGAATGTGTTTAGGCAGCTCTTGTGTTGGTTCTTCAACTGGTTTAGGGAAAACAAGATGAGGATTCTGAAAAGTAGACTCATAAAAATTCTCAGGTTCCATAGAAAGGCAGGTCCACTATTGAGGGCAACAGTGAATGTCAGGTGAACACACAACTGCACCCTGTATGTCTTTTTAATTGAAAAGCTGTTTTGGGAGGAAGCTATTTAGACCAGGAAAGTGCCAGGAAAAGGTGATTATTTGAAACATGGAAGTGACAGAAAGAAGCTTCCCCCTGCCTACACCACTTCCCCTGCTGCACCTCCACCCACAAAGTAGCTTTTCAGTAAAAAGAGCTATCAGGCTTAGCTAGGCCCAAAGTTAGTCTTGTGTGAGAAAGATAGGTGCTCAATATAGTCACTATGTTGTAGTTTATGAACTACAACAGCTTGCTTTGGGTCCTACATCCTCCTTTCTTCTTTAGCAGAGCAGACTGGAAGTAAAAACTAGAGCACATCTGTTTAGAATAAATACTCTTCTGTTTGGAGTTGCCCTCTAGAGACATATGATGTTGGCCGGGGTAGTTTTGCTTTGAATTAGCTAAAAAAAAGTGAGCAACTTGCTTTTGACAACAGAGGCCTCTGATACCGGCCTTTTAAAAAAAAGAAAGGTGAAGTGGTACACCCAGGACAGGACTACATGAAGTATGCAACAATTTCCACAGAGATAGCCATGGTGTCTTCCACACAGGGACAGGAGTTTTTGGTTTCCCCACTGCCGTTGCGGCTTCAGATAAAAATGCAGCAGCAACGGGACTTCCATATGGCAGGCTTCACTGCAGTTTCCCTGCCCAAATCTCCCAGGAGGCTATTCCCCTGGCCACCAGGGCTTTTGCAAGCAAAAAATAATCAGCACCAGTGTATCATTATAGTGCTATGCTATTGTAACTATAAGTGTGGCAGGTTCTCTGTAAGTCTAACTCCTTCTCTTGTGAAGATCTGCTCCCTTATGCTGCCTTCTTCATTGTATCTCCACAAGAGGAGACTTTTTTTAAAATGGAGGCTGAGAATTCAGAGAATCTGATGCACCTATTATTACAATGGTGTATCAGCATAATGATATTCTAATGCCAACTTCTTTTAAAAACAATAAAAAGTGCTCCAGTGGCACTGGCAGGGGATGGGAGGAAGAAACGGAAATGGCTGCTGCAGGGACAAGGTCAGGGGAAATGGTTGCTGCATGGGCTGGAAAAACTGAATCCCTGCCCCCAACATAAATAAATTAGTAATCCAGGCTAAACATATGGAGCAGAGGTGCATCAGTGGCTATTATCCAAAAGGTATAGAAAGGAACTCTCAGTCTGGGGCAAGTGATGCTCTGTATTCTTGGTGCTGGGGGGGGGGGGAACAGTGGGAGGGCTTCTAGTGTCCTGGCACCTGGTATTTTTGGCCACTGTTTGACACAGTGTTGGACTGGATGGGCCACTGGCCTGATCCAACATTGGCTTCTCTTATGTTCTTACTGTGAATTTTTCCTAAAACTTCAGAGTAATTTGAGGAAAAAATTGAAAATGCCATGGAAACCACTGGAGGTACATGAATACACCACAATGCTGTGTGGAAGCGGTGGGAAAGCCCGCTTCCTAAAAGCATTGAACTTGGGGTCTCATAACTGTGCAGAAAAGGCCTACATTAAACAGTTGCAGTGAAAACGAAAAGGCATTTCTGTTACTTTAAAGACTAACAGATTTATTGCAGCACAATTTATCAGAGGAAATGGGCTCTGGCCCATAAATGCGTATGCCATGTTACACGCAGTTCAGCCATTGTTCTCTCTCCAAGAACTCTCATCAGGTAAAGCAGCTGCAGGTGACTTCAGAGCAAGTGGAAGGAGGAGAAACTAACTTTCCCCTTCACAGTGATTTCCCTGCTCAGAGGCACCCTCTCATGTTGCTTTTCTCCCAGAAAGGCATGGGAAAGAAAGAAAGAAAGAAAGAAATATCCCTCCCTCAAATACCCACAGACGTCCTGCATTCAATATGAAGCCAGCCACAGCTGCTTTATATGATATAAAAAAGCCCTAAGGACAGAGAATTATAGAACTACATGCAACTTGCAGTTCTGCTCTTGGACAAGTTCCCATCTTTCTGGTCCACTGGATGCCTCAAAAAAGTTCTCCACTAAATTCAATTTCCTGTTCATTTCATTTCTACATCAAAGGCACCTTTTATTGTCTTGAAGGGCTGATGAGCCTCTCTACTCTCTAATTTTACAAGTGGAGAACAAATCCAAGGAGATTACCATTTCGGATGACAAAGACTAGAATCATGAATGGTGATGGTGGAAAGAGCTGTCAAGTCACAACTGATTTATGGTGACCCCGTAGGGTTTTCAAGGCAAGAGAAATTCAGAGGTAGTTTGCCATTGCCTGCCTCTGCATAGTGACTGCGGATTTCCTTGGTGGTCTCCCATCCAAATACTAATCAGAGCCGGCCCTGCATAGCTTCCAAGATATTATGAGATCAGGTCAGGGTAAGAATTACCTTGGGCAGTTACATCACAGCTTAAAATTTTTCTTAAGTCCTTCAAAAATGGAACACTTTCAACACCACTCCAAAATTTCTTTTGAAAATTTTAAAACTACCCCTAGGTGAGAGGAGGAAAGACAATCCAACACCCACATTCACTCAATATATTTCAGTCGTAGATTCCCCCAGAGAAACAAAGCTACTGAAGTGGTCTCTCAAGGCAGCTGTTTTGTGGTGGCACCCACTACTCCCCAAATTTCAGAAGTGACTGCAGGTTTAACACAGGTGGGGACCTAGAGATTATATGGCATTACAAGTGAAAATCCTAGACCTAAAGGTGCAGCTTTGGGTTTAGGATACTGAACTCATGGCTGGGTGTAGTTTACACAGTTCTCTGTCTGAGGCAGTTAGTTACTATCTATTCTGCTTGTCACACATGAAAACCAGTAGTCCACGTGGTCATAACACTGCAAGTATGGTGACAAAGACACTTTATATAGGAACAAAACTAAAAAGAGGAGCACTTCTATAGAATTCTGCATATTTGCATACAATTTTGCTACTGCTTAAATAGGTCCTTTAGAATAGCTTCAGGTTACACAATTAATGGACAAACAACATGTGTACTCCAAATTGTCCAAGGCACATGCTTGCATTTTTGACATGTACACAGTAGTCAAATGCAGCTTATTCAAATCTTTTAGCTAAAATAAAATGTGCATTCATCCCTCACTTTGTCATCTGTACTGCTGCTATTCTGCAGTGTACAAAGTTGTCCAGGTCACTTTAGTTTATCATAGATACACATGTAGAAGCAAACACAGTAACACTAGATTCTTAAATTTTAAGGAGACTATGAAAACATCCCCCTAATGTCATTCCTCTAGGTCCCCTATCCCATGAACAGCATTTTGTGGAGATCAATGGATTGCAGTAAGGGGGAAGAGGAAGGAAAACAGTCTAGATCCAACCCAGTATGTGCCTACAGGGATGGTTAAAATCACTGAAAACTTCACAAAGATACATTGCAGCACTGGTTTAAGGCTGAAATTAACTTCAGGAGAACACTACAAAAAGCGCATTGGTAATTAATTCTGATATCTATAGCTGGCCTGTCAAGTACAAACATTACAGGTATAAGTACTACAAGGCAAAGAAGATAGCCAATTGATTGAGAATGATCTCAAATCATTTTGTTCAAATCTTAACTACACTTTAAATAAAAAAGTACAGGCTGAGGGATATCAGCATAAATTATTCAGGATTTTGAGAGACAGTTGTGGTGCAGTGGTTAAAGTGTTGGACTAGGATCTCAGAGACCTAGGTTCAGATTCCCGCCTGGCCATGAAACCTTGTTGGGTAATGCTGGACCAGTCACACACTTTCAGCCTAACCTACCACACAGGATTGTGACATTAAAATGGAGAAGGGAAGAATATTGTAAGGCACTTGGGTCCTGATTGAGGGTAAAAATGATGGGAATAAAAACAAACTGAGATGGTGGGTCAACCAGCAGCTGGAACACATTTTAGTAATAGATCTTCACACAAATCAGGAAGCTGACATATTTGGTCCCAAGAAAAAAACACAGCTCTACCGCCTGTTTCCTGGGGTTAGATTGGCTGGCCACATAGTCTTTTCTGTCCCCCATTGACAATGCTTATGAAGGTAAGGTCTTCAGTGACTTAGAGCATTCCTATAGGCATATGTTGGGTTGGATCCAGATTAAGTTTTCTATGTTTCCTGCCTCTTCCCTCCCCATGCAACGCTTCAGTTAAATAACATGCTACTACTTGACTTAATCCGTCTACTACAGAACTTCTCTCTACTTGTGCAGGCAGGTATGAGCCAACTTACTCAAATACATATGAAAGGTTACCATCTAATCAACCACTACATTGAAGCTACACCACAAGTCCTTTCTGGTTCCACAAAAGTTCAGAACACAGTTACATATTTATACTGAATTAGTTCTGAAAAGGACAAAGCAGAATTCACAAGAACTAGAGAAGCCAGCCTCTAGCACCCTCTGCTGTCTCAGCACTGGCCACATATTTGTATTTTAATTATTCTATTTTCCTAAAACTGAAGTCTGGTTTAAACATCTAGAACTGCAGCTTGTAATGCCTACACTGCTAAATCACAAACCATACTGAATAATTAAACATAATCTAGAATAAGAAAGACATTTTTTTACATTTTAAAGCAGCAATGTGCTTCTACACATTCACTGTCTTGCCTTACATTATAAACAGTCCCTGATCCTGGCCAAAACAAGCAAAATTAAGCATGTGAACGATACCTTTCAACACCTCTGCAACAGCAATGCAGAATGGCATTTATCCAGGCTGGAATCTAGGCCCAACATTTGTTGTTAAATTAATTTTCTATGGCTTGGATCCCATTGTATCCTATGCTGACAGATGGGATTTCAGTTACAGAACAGGACTTCCTTGCCTCCTCGTCTTCCACAGCAGCCCCAAATCATCCCTGAAATTATGTCCATGGGGGACAAGAGACACACCTCCCTAGAACAACATGGGATTGGTGAAAACTCCCTTCTGTTAGTGTTAATTTTCCATGGAAACCAACCCATTTGTTAAATACATGGGCAACCAGACAGTTATTGGAAGCAATGGTCACTTTGAATGCACTATATACTCAATCACATCTCAATCCACCTGCAGATCAGGGCCAGATGGATATCAGGAAATTTTCCTGCAAATTTCAGGGGATAAGTTTGCAGAAGAATCTAAAGAAATGGGGGGAAATGGAGGTGGGTGGAAATCCCCCAGAGGAACATGGTCTGTGCGTGTACAGACAACGTTTCTGTTGGAGCGGTGATAGGGAGCCAATGAACAGTTCCCAAACGGTTTCTGGTCTGACATTTCAGACAGAACTGTTTTAGAACCAGTTCCCTATTGGAATATATTTGTACTTTCACAAACAAACGTTTCTGTCCCGTTCAGGAAACGGGGCTGAACCGTTTTACCTGTAAACCAATTCCAAGTAGTCTTCCGTTTCTTCTCCCGGATCCAAAACGCTTTTTCCCGCCGTTTTTCGCCCACACGGGTGATCTCCAGCTTTTTTGGGGGGGAACGGTTGCTTTAGAGCACTATAGCACTATAGCAAAACAGCATTATCGCACCCCCATTTGAATGCCTGGAGTGTTGTGTTATAGCGCTCTAAAGCGAACGTTAAAAAAAAAGCCGGAGATCGCCCACACAAGCGAAAAACGGCGGGAAAAAGCAGTGCAGTCTGAAATGGCAAACCGCTTCAGATCCAGCTGTTTACTGGTAGGGGAAAGCCATGTGTGAAATGGCAGCCCTATAGTGGTTTACTCCATGACAGATCAAAAACAGCTTCAAACCGGCTTAAAAGGGGTACTGTGAAATTCCTCCACAACAATGACAACCAAAAGCAAATAGTTTAAGAACTTTAACTCTATACATTAGATAATGTCACTCTGAAGAGGCACCTAGAGTGAGCTTTTGCAATCAGAAGCAATAAAGGTTAAGAGTCTCAGGAGAGCTAGAGCCAACCAGCCAAACAAAAGCCTAAGCTTCACAAGCATAAAACTCCAGTCAAGTTGCAAAATGCTAAATACCTGAAAAAGCTGTCAGGGCAAAAATCTTAGGCTCTTCCCTTCATTAGCTATAGAACATTACAACAAAGGAAGTGAAAGCACCCATCAGAAGTCTTAAATATTTATTTAGGTGTCACTTGCATCTCTGTTGCTGTCTGCTCCCTTTCGTTTAACTCAGGCTTCCCCACAGCCACATAAACTTCCGACTTTGTTTATTTTTACCTGAAGGATGTTGTTCCATTCTCTTTTATTTTGTTTCTCTGAACAGGAGATGCTTGAAGCGACAGAATTTGGTTTCCTGGCAGGGTAATTTGTTTCACAATGGATCCTAAAAAAAGAAGAAGAACAATCCACTGCAGAAAACAAAATGCAAGATGACATTCAATGCATACTCTGAAGGAAAAAGCTGTGAGGATAGTCCAGTTTTTAAAATGGAAGCAACATATTTGTGTCAAGGTCACAGCAACAATTCAGTCAGTTGCATTACCTGCATGTGTTATTTTATTTGGACAACTGCATTCTTTTTATTAACCCAAATTAGTAGGTATGAGCAAGCACGAAGCTTGGCTAATGAAGAAACACTGATTTACAAGGAAGCTAGTCAGAGTATTTGACTAGGAAAGCCACTGATAATGTCCACCTTTCAGGAAGCTGTTTCTCTCATAACAGAAACCACCAAGGGCATTTTCAGACAATTGGGACAGAGTGGCTGCTCCTGATAGTGGTGTACCAGAAAACCTTCTGCTGCCTTATGGCTCAAAACCAAGAGACATATAGTTCTTTATGAGAAGGTGCCAGTTGTCTTTACCTACCAACTTGGCTACCACCAGAGAGACCACTTTGAGATCTGGATGCAGTGGATGAGAATGAGCACAGATGACAGAAGTACTAGAATAACTCACCCACCCTTTGGTTATCAGCTGATTTGTAAATCTGTCCATCTCCTCCCCAGCAAAAGATATATGGTGGGCAGGGCCTACCACGATTGGCTGTGTGGACTTGGTAATGCAGGGACACTGCACAGCACTTCTATTCTCGGCTAATTTTATTTTTAGCACAGCTGAGCAGTTATGCATATTTTGTATGAAATACCAAGGATGCTCCTGTGTAGCAAGGATACCGCACTGTGCCAGTGCTTAAACTGACTGGAAAATGCAGTTCTTCTCCACTAACTGCAACTACTGTGAATGAGTGCTTTGTGAAATGTTGCTCTCCATATATCATGGGCACTTACAGACATCCAGAATCACTAGAGAAGCTAAACTCTCCTAGAGAAGCTACACTCACAATACATCATTTTTTACTTTATTTTATGAATGAAACGCTTTTACAATCTGATGGAGGTCAAGTACCATGGAGCTGTGATCCTATAACTCACACCAGATCTTTGGCCTCTATATTTGTTGACCCTTCTGTGTGAAACAGTATTCTGGACTAGCTGGGCCACTCTGCTTATGTTCTTATGTTCCCTTCAAACAGTTATGAAAAACCTGCAGGTACCCTTCCCACACTGGAGCATGTACTTTAAAGCAACTTGGCTATCCTCCTGTGAAAATGCTACCCACGCTCCATGCTGTTATGTAAAAATAGGAACAAGATAGTCTGCTAATATGAAGCATTATTTCTCATTTAGAAGACCTTAACACAAAATTGCCACTCTCAACCACCACCCTATCACCTCAGGTGCATCCCAACTATCACCTTACTGATCTGATAAGATTTAAAGTTGGGGAAGTTCAACCATACCTGCAGGAAGCTGGTTTGCCTGGATCAATGCATTTAAAGACATTTTTTCACCTGATCTGTTTGAAACAGGGACTGTTGACGTTTGTTGGAACGTGGTCACTTTTTTCACAGCACTTCCCGATGGCTGCTGGAGTATCTAAGAAAAAAGTGCATCAAAAATTCTAATAGAGAGCAAATGATATAGAACAGGGATCCCCAACCTGGTGCCCACCAATATCTTTCCTGCAACCCGCCAAGTGCCTTTAGTACCTTTGTATCAATTCTGTCTTTTCCCAGCAAGGCTTCTGATTGGCCATTGCAGATTTGACTGGCTTTTTAAAATGTTGCTTTGGCAACAGCTGCCGCCACAGCACCAGGACCTTCACTGTGTGACTGAAGGTACATTGTGGCAGCCATTCCGTGGGAAGCTCCACCTCCTGTGGCTGTGCCCACCATGCAGTGTCAGAATTCCAGTGTCAACCGATCCCTACAGGCTGACATGGCTCCCTAACTACACACTACAGCGCAAGGGGGCAGAGCTTTCAATTTGTACAGATTCGATCTTCTAGTCACCCCCTCCCCCAGTCACCTCCCATGTCATTCAAAAGGATTCCCTTTATTCTCAGGAATGACTTTTTGGAGGGCAAAAGACGAGTAAGAAGAGGCAGAAGAGCTCTGACCTACAAGGTGGGAAAAGCGTTCTGTTGCTGTTTTCTGGAAGCTGCCCATAGGTGGCAGACATGCTAACATACACATATGCTACTACACTGCATGTGTAGGCAGATCAAACCATTCTGCCAACATAGTCCTTTAGTTGCTACATTTTCTTGCTGAACATTAACCATTTTCAATAGACTGGAGAGGGCTACAAGACAAGCCTGCAGAAGCTAAGTCAAAGCACGGGTGACTGGAATGAATGTCTACACCTCTGGCATTTATCTCCACCTTCCTTCCCTCACAGCATTTCTTCTTTCACATCAAATTTTGGACTGTACACTTCTCAGGGCAGGTACCCACTTTGTACTAAAGTATGGTGCACATTGGCTACAAAAGCCAGTAACCCCCAACAAAAAAGACTATATTCCAGTAACAAACTAGCTTACCAGCTGCTTCACTTTTATAGCTTGTGAATTTCGAGCGGACTGGGAGTGGACAGAATTGGGGTGGGCAAGTCTGATAGTGATTGGTGTCCCAGTGATTGGTATCACAGACTGAAGCGATGTAGTTACTGCTGTAGTAGATGTCACTACAGCAGTAGTCAAAGCTTGCTTGACCACCTGGAGAGAAGTTGTTACTGCAGCAGCAGAAGACAAGACTGATTTTACAGCATTGAGAGCAGGAAGGGCTGGGGATGATACTGTGGAGGCAAGAACTGGTTTTATGGCTTGAAGGGAAGTGGTTCCTGTTGCCATTGCTATGGAATGGGGCAGATGTACAGTCTTAGTAACTATTCCTGTGGTCAATGGAGAGGGTGGGACAGGATTTGCCGCCTGGAGTACCCCTGATGAGGTTTGCATTGGATGTACAAACTGAAAGGAACCAGATCCTCTTGTCACCAGTGGTGTACAGGGGACGGAGTTTGAGATCCGAGGAGAAGGTATCCCCACTGGAGTCCTAGGGGCTGGTCTAGCAGACTGAAGAGATGCTGTGTTCAAAGGAGTGCCAGGAGCAACCATGGAAGGAGTGGTGACAGCCACTGTACCACAAGCCGAAACAGCAGTTTGGGTTGAAGACTGCTGAAGACATTGTTGTATGAAGCTCTGTGTGTTTGGCATTAACTGCCGCAAAGCAAGCATGCTTTTCTAAGATGGAAAGGAAGAGGGAAAAAAAGGAATCAATTCCATATTCTTTTGATAACTTACATGGTACTAACTCATCAGAAAACACTGCCAATTTTAAGTAAAGCCACTGAAATTACCACTGAGGATCACTATTAGAACTGCTGGGGAGAAAAACGGAACTGACTGCATTTGATCTTCCAGGAAGCTTGCCAAACCTCAATATGCTTAACTTTTGTTACTTAACTGATCGAGGGCTTGACAAGAGTCTGAGGCACATTGGCCCACCTCCATGAAAATAGGTGAAAGAGACCTGCATCAGACATGTCAAGGCTTCCACAATAGACAAAGGAATTGCCAGTCATTTTACAGTGCTTTCTACACATTCTAAACATAAAACTGGGAAGCAGTCCAGATGTGCTGAACAAAGCTTCTGTACACTTCCGGAACAAGTAGAACATTTACAGTGCACAACAGAACTTCCATTCTCTACAGCCAATTACAGTTCAACCATCTTTGCAAATAGAGCTCTGAGTTCTCCAAAGTTCTGAAGTATCTCCATCGTAAGTGTGCTGCTCCTTGTAACTATATGAACTTATGTTTGTGTTTCTGTATAGTGGTGATGCTGTCTATGTGTGTCTATGCATTGTGTATTCAGGGACTGCTGTTTGGTTGTGTTGCTTTGTTCTGCATCTCATGCTTGCCTAGAAATAGGCTGGCCTGGGGCTGCCGTTGCACATACAGACCATGTGCTTCCCTGGAGAAGGTATCCCGTCCTGCATCGGGATAGAGGAGACACCGCGCCATTGCACCCACTTGGAGAGTTATGGAAAATCCCCCAGCGAACCCCGACATCACCGGAATGCCAGGAATCACGTAACCCTCTGCACCTAATCTGGTTTGGAGATCTGAAGACAATAGCATTTATGGCTTTGGAGCAGGCACCAGATCTGCAAGTCAAGAGGTGTCCATGGGAACGGAAGATTCACACCTCACCAAAAGGCACCTTTGATGTAGGGATAGGATCTGCATATTGCCACCACCCCTCAGTAGAGCGTCATCCCCTCGTCAACCCCCCCCTCATCCAGTAGTGATAGTTTAGGGGATGGATTTGATAGTTTATGGCTGGATAGCACATGCCCCAAAAAGAGTTTATTTAAGGAGAAACTCTCCTTTGTCTCTCTGGTTAACCCACCTTCCCCATAGCAGTGCACTAAGGTGCTACAAGTGACTCTACTACCTAAGTTCTCCGGGAGTCGCGACCCAGAGAGCTCACACGTGGTTTGGCTGGTCCTACCTGTGTGCCTTGGAGTTCACAAGCTGCTGCTTTTCGGCTGCCCATCCTTCCAAGGAGGAGAGTTCTTCTTCAGCTTGGACCTCAGATGAGTATAGCCGTGCCCCATTGTGTCATCCCCATTTTGATGCTTTTGTTATTTTCTATGCTGTAATTGTTCTGATGTACTATTGTAACTAAGGAGCTTGTATAACTGTGTGTGTGATTCTGATTTTGTATGACTGCAGAAACCTTTAGTAAAGACAACATTTATTCTTAATCCTAGCGTGTTGTCTCACTTCCTGGGATATAGCGAGCGTCTCATTGGCCATCTGACCTCTGTATAGACTGGTATAGAACTTACGCACAGCCACAACCACCCAACTTCCTTGGTAGATAACTTGGATTGGGTCTCCAGGAATTTCCTGGAGAAGTTGGCATAACATCCTTCCTATGACAACAATAACTTAATTGGTCCTGGCAACACAGATCCAATGCAACATTCCTGTAACAGAGTTGCAGTGTCATGAATGAGTGCCACATAATCTTAGTATGCTAGAATGTCTATGCATATTACAATACTACAATGACAATTACACATGTTATGCAGCTGATCAGCATTTCTCAAATATTTTTACCCATTTAATTGCTCCAAACTATCCAGAATTCAGTTAGTTACAAATCCTTAGTACAGAACTGTTCACTGTTTCTGTAGTTAGACATCTTTGAAGTCCTAGATCTGGCAAAATTTACAGAAAACCAACTTGAACATGTAGTATGTTTTAGTTCTCTGTGACTTTCCAATTTGCATTCAGTTTGCACATGTGTAAACCACAATTAAGGAACACTTTAAACATTACAAATTTCTTCCATGGGGAGCGTACATACAAGAAGTTACTGCAAGCATTTAGACCACCTGTAGTAAGTACAAATTGTTCCACTGCCTAATGTATAGTGTACAACTATAACAGAATGTTACATCTTCCTGGCATATGTACAGTCATGTTTAAAAGAAGAGTGAGACACTCAGTGGTTCCACTGATACCTATACTATTGCAGACTGGTTCTAGAAAATTCATTAACACCTCACAGAGCTCTAAGTTTGTTCACCAAACACAAAATTCCACTCAATTTATTTCCTCCAAAATAGTGAGACATTATGATCAAGCTGAATTACACAAGTTATGCATTGCTGAAAGTAGCCATTGAGTATAAATCCTAGACTATTGCTCCTATGGATTTAAAACTGCACCTTAGTCAACAAGAATCATTCAGCCACTGACCAAATTGGTGTTTAGGGGGTACACAGTTCCCAAAAATCCTACATGTCTATACTAGCTATAATACTGCATAGGCAGAGGTTGCAGAAACAAGGGCCCCCTTGGAAAAATCCCTATATCATGTGATGCAGCTGTGTCACCACCCTGCAAAAAGAGCCAGTTTGGTGTAGTGGTTAGCAGTGCAGACTAATCTGGGAGGACCAGGTTTGATTCCCCACTCCTCCACATGCAGCTGCTGGTGTGATCTTGGGTTCTCTCAAGGGCAGTTCTCAAAAAAGCTCTCTCAGCCCCACCTACCTCACAGGGTGTCTGTCTGTCGTCAGGAGCGGAAGGGAAAGGGATTGTAAGCCACTCCTCTTCAAATGAAGACCAAACTTCAGTACTGAGGCCTTACAGTTTAACATTCCCATCCCACCTCCAAACCCAAATGGCTCATGCAATTGGGTCTTACCATTTAACTGCCCTGGTACCTGAACCCTTGCCTGTGAGGTCAAGGAAAACCATCACCGAGGGTTTTTGGTGGGGTCATTTAAATTAAGAATACTGTCTTTAAGACATACCTTGAGAAAGGGGACAAGACATGGTTGTGGAGAAGACTTTAGCTCAATGTACAGGTTTTTGGTAAATTCTTCAGGCTCAATTTTACCTTCCTAGGTAGAAAAAGAGATTGTAGCATGAATGCAAGATGTAGCTCATCCAGAAACCACCACTGAAATCCTAGCATAAGTGAATAACTTCACATATGGTCTATTTTATTCCAATACACTGTAAATTAAAGAAAAGTAAGTACAGACTATGAACAATACTTTTTAAGACCAACACAAGGAGACTGGCAATGGGATACTTGGTAGGCTATTTTCTTGGAAGTCAAGACCTGCTCTATGAATATTTGCTATCATGTAATTCAACAGAACACTTATTTCTTCTGTGGTTTACCTTCCCTACCAATCTTTGTATCACAGACCACTAGAATTAAGAGGTAGTACTTGCTCTGTTTGTATTGCATGAGATAGAACTAGAAAATAAGACTTGTCATACACAGTTTCTCTCTCTATGCTACACAGTTATTTTGAAAAGGAAACAAGATTAATGCCAAGAGCAAGGTCTTTGACAATACAGCATGGAACTCTGAGTTCAATTAATAATCTATGTGTGGAAGTGGCCTATTCAACTGCATTTGTATTCACACACTAGTTCTCCAAGTTCCTACCACATGTGGTATGCTCATTTAGACATATTAGTTTATTTTCAACCACACATTCCAAAGACTTGATAGGCTCTTAAGATGCTGTGCTGATTTCCACTGATTTCTCTCTCCCACTATATACCCCTGCCCCCTATACTGATCCTGAGGAATACCTCCCCAACAAAATTTTAGGGGACTCAGTAAGATGGAACAGAAGGAGGAAATCTATGAAAACCACCATCCTCACTTAAGAAAACTTGTGGTTTTAACTTTGTTATATCAAGGCCAATGCAGAAAACGGATTTAAAAGAAGAGTGTAATTTACCCTTCTGAAGCAGCCATCTTTCCAATATTGTTGATACAGAGCTGTGAAATGTCCCTCTGAAATTATGCTATGAATACAGTATTTCTTACAATACACACACCCCTCAGCCAACAATACTGAAGACCTGCATGACAATTACAACAGGAATACCTACCAAATAAGCACAAAAGGAAATAGAAATCATAGCAAGAATGGTAACTGAGGGTAGGAAATGCCCCTCTGACATAGTAAGCCCATACATAAATGAAGTTCCATAAATGGTTAGGATTTCAGGCTGACTGTGCTGAATTGCTCCCTTCTAAGCATCATCCAAGAATTGAAGGCAGATGTATGAAGATGGACAATAAGTCTGACAGCCCTAAAGTTTTATAGATTCAATCTGCTGAATGCATTCTTATATATAACTTAAGTCCAAATGAAACGCCTTTTGAATAAAAGCTTCTAGGATCAGTACATAAGTGTTTATGAATGAAGTCTTACCAAGAGACCTTGTACCAAGTTCTTCACATTCTGCCGCATTTCAGGAGCTTGCGGTCCACTTGATGCCAATTTAATTAATGTTGCTAAGAAGTTTTTGCACTTCTTCACATTCTCCAGCATTTCCTAACAACAAAAGTCAACAAGAAGTTAAATTAAATCTTGTTCAGTTGTTTTGAAGCAGTGTAAAGACCTAACTTTCCTCTCAGGTGTTCCAGTGATGTAATGTACATGTTATTTGCCCAATGCTTGCCTAATGATTTTATCAATACATTTTTATGCTGTTTTAACTTGTACTGCTAAAAATGATGTATACCCTCATTCTATATCTTACACTGCTGAACCTTGTGGTTTTTATGTCTTTTTGGATTAGCAGTATTGGACAGGATGTAAGTGATTAAAATAAAGGTATGCTACCTGGTTTTAGGTCTCATTATATGGGACTCCAATGGCCTTGGTTGCCCTGGTGAATGACCTGTGCCAGGAGATGGACATGGGAAGTTCAAGCCTGTTGATTCTCCTGGACCTCTCAGCAGCTTTCCACACCATAGAACCCTTCTGGACCGACTTTTGGGGCTGGGGCATGCTTCTTAACATGAAACCGTTGAGTGAAGTCATCTGGAGATTTGTGCTGGATAATAATCAATATGCAGATGATACTCAGCTTTATTTTACAGTTCCAGCAGATCCCAGGGGATCTGTAGAACCTTGAACTGCAGGAGGTGTAACTGGTGGGCAGAAGGACTGACACAGGAATGGAGTTTTCACCCCTTTTGGGTGGAGTTGCACTCTCCCTAAATGAATAAATGTGTAGCCTGACAATGCTGCTGGAACTGAGTGTCCTGGATAATCTGGTCGCAGCAGTAGCCAGGACCACCTTCTACCACCTCTGGCCTTTCCTGGGTAAAAAAAAAAAGATCTTGCCACTGTGGTGCACGCCATGTAAGCATCTAGACAAACTTACTGCAATGCACTCTATGTGGTGATGCCCTTGAAGAGTGGCCAGAAGCTACAACTGATACAGAATGCTGGCTACAGTGAATCATATCACTCCATCCTTGCTCCATCTACACCGGATTCCAATTCAAGGTGCTGATATTGACATTTATAACCATTGTTCCCTCTTAGCTGAGTTAGTGTGAGCTAGCTCACAGTTTTTTAGCCTCCAGCTCACACATTTTTGTCTTCGCTCAGGAAGGATGGCTCCAGAGCAAACTAATCTATGCAGCAGCCAAATCGCTCACTCACAACTTTAATTCTAGTAGCCCACAAAGTAGAATTTTTGCTCACAAGCCTCCACAGCTTAGAGGGAGCATTGTTTATAACCCTATACAGCTCGAGGCCAGCATACTTTAAAAAAAAACTGCCTACTTCCATATAAACGTATCCATCCTTCATGGTCATCTTCAGAGGCCCTTGTTCAGGTGCCTCGGTCACCTGAGGATAGACAGGTTGCAACACAAGGAAGGGCCTTTAGGTCATGGCAACAAAACAGTGAATCCCTCTCCCAGGAAGATGAGTCTGTCTCCCTCTATCGTTGTCTTCCACCAGCAGATAAAGACTTCTTTGTTTTGTTTAGCATTCCCTTCTTGACCCTTTTCCCTGTTCGTTTTAATTGCTGCTTTATGTACTGTTTTTAAATTTTACATTTAATGTCTTTTTAAACCATTTGCTGCCTTGAGGACCCTAAATAGGCAGAAAGGCACAATACTAATGTTTTAAATAATACCACTGATCTGGTCAGATCTCAGAAGCTAAGGAAGGGTTGGCCCTTTTTAATACACTTCAATGGGAGACCACCAAGGAAGTCCAGGGGTGCTATGCAGACGCAGGCAATGGTAAACCACCTCCGTTTGTCTCTTGTCTTGAAAACCCTATGGGGGTCACAGCAAGTCACCTGCAACTTGATGGGACTTCCCTCCACCAATAACAACAATCTCAGACCATTTTGTTCTTACTGCAGAAGTGCTTGTCTGTGTCACTATTGAGCCTTCTTTGTCAGGAGCTGGTTTCTGAGGGACAGAGAACGCAGGACGGTCAGAAGCAGATTTTGTCTGTGGTCCAGCAAAAGTCTTCACAGCACTAACAGTAGCAGTACTGCTTCCGGATGCTGGTGATGACTGCAAGAAATTAAGTATTTACGTAACTGCCTATTTCAATTTCAACAGAAATAAGAAATAAAAAGCAACATTTTCAAATGATACTATGGTTCCACCCTAAGTATTTCCAAGAAACTAAGTACAGCAGTTTATTTCAACTCTTAATGAGATATATCCAAAAGACGAGACAGCATTGCAGTGAGACCATGAGGAAGGTTGAGCAAGTGGCTTACCACACACCCCTGCTCCCTGTGGTCTACCTAGTCCAGCATCCTGTTTCACACAGTAATCAAAACAGTTGCTCTGGAGGGCCAAACAGGGCATAGAGGTCAAGGCCTTTCCCCGATGCTACATCCTAGCACAGATACACAGAGGTTGGCTGCCTCTGCATCTGGAAGTTCCCTTTACTCACCATGGTTAGTAGCCACTAAGGGACCTCTTCTCCAGGCATCTGTGTTCATGACCATCACTATGTATGCTGACAGTGAATTCCTACTCAATGAGCAAAGTAGTTGCTTTTGTCTGTTATGAACCTGTTGCCCATCAACTCCATTAGGTACCCCTGAGCTCCAGCAACATGAGAGGAAAAAATGCTCTGCACCTATTTCACCACTCCAGGCATAATTTTATAAACGTCTATGTCTTCACTTGGCCACCTTTTTTCTAAAGTGACCTGTTACAGTTCTGCCGGGTCTACAAGACGGAGCTCTTCCGCCAGGCTTTTAGTTGATCGACTTTGATCTAGCCTTCCCTCCAGTGACCGCAGATCCTAGAAACCAGATTGAACCACAATATTATCTGTTGAGGCGCATTGCTGTTTTAGTGTGTTGGTGATTTTATTGATTTTAAATGGATTGCAATAATATGTTGTAATTGTAAATCTGCACTAATTGTAGGTCTATATGTTGGCACCTGTCCTGAGGCCACAGTGTGGGGAGGGTGGGATATAAATCTAATAAAATAAACATCCCAGACTTTTTTTGCATTTCCTTATAGAAAAGTTGTTCCAACCCAAAATCAAGACTGGCCATTAATCTCCCCAGGAACAATTCCCAGTGTGCCTTTTCCCTAGAGGGACAGTGGCAAGGCTAGAGGCTGTCACAGCACCCAGCAGAGGCATTTATAAAGAAATGCAATGTAAGGAGAGAAAAGTAGGCTAGCCAAGGGGATGGGCCACCAAGATGGCCCTGCCCAGGACACCCCTTCCTCAGCAGACTCCTTTGCTGTTTCCCTGGTGGCTTCAGCCTAGTACAGGTTTTGTTCTTAAGGCAGTCCCAAAGCTGCTACTTCTCTTGTGAGTATGCTGTGCTTATGACTACAGTCAGCACCTGATTAATATTTGTCTGAAAGTAATTCCCACTGAAGTAAGATCACATAAATCACCAGAACTGCAAGACTTTTATTATTGTGTTTACCTTCATTGCTTTTTTGTTTATCTGATGCCCTCCCCACGGAAACTGAGAATAGTGTTGAAGTATCTTGTCATTAAGGAATAGATAGATTTCTTTGAATGCTTTTATTCTTTCAGTGTCCAAGGGTGAAAATATGGAATACATGGTTGCTATGTTTCTAGTATATAAGAACATCCACACTAAATTATTATGAAAATGTGTGAAAAAGATCTGTGGGTCCATGGACAGGACAATTATAATTTTCAAAAGGTTTTAAAATAGCTTCAGGCTTGTTATTTGGTAAGGATTAAACTATACATCATGCTGGATTTCTATGACTGGAATTCCAGATGTGTTTTTTGGTCTTAAAAAGCAGTCACCATTATTTCCGTTGTGACTAGTTGTGTCTGAGTTTTAAACAGAAATCTCGCAGCCCATTCTTGTGTTTCATGGTCTTTTGCAAGGTATCCAGTTCTCATCTCACCACACTCACACCAGGTAGCCTTAGGCAAGCCATTCTCTTAAGTCCCCAGTCCCCACCTAAAATACTCAACATCCAGTGTGATAAAGTGGTTAGAAAGTTGGGCTGTAAGATGCAAGACAAATCCCCTTTCAATCCTGAAGTTTGTTCAATCTGCTCTCTTTCACTCTGTCCCGGCCTAACCTATCTCACAAGGTCGAGAATAAAATTAAGGAGGTAAGAACTATGTGTGCTGCCCTGAACTCCTTGGAGAAAGAGAGATAAATACTGAACCTTGAATTCTGCACAATGGAAGATGCAAACCCCCATTCCCAACTTCTGCTGCCACTGGGGCACCTTTAGTTCTGTGACTGTTGACCTATTAGGTTCTGCCCTTCAGTCTGACCAGAAGCACACCAGGGGGGCCACCATGAAGCTTTTTCCAGGACCATGTGTGCTTCCCTGTCTGCCCCTGCCCTTAGGCATCTTGACTGATTTCTTTGTACTTTTTCCAGATTTGCACTATCCTTTGAGAGATAACCATTAGAACTGTACACAGTATTCCAAATGATGATGCAACATAGTTCTTGTCAAGAGACTAGGACTTTTTCATTGTCTGTTGTTCAAAATGCAAACAATGGTTCAGGCTGAGGACTAGGGGAAAAAATGGAAGCTTTCTGCTCTGAGAAACCAATGTTGATTTGCCTATAGCTTCAGAGGGAGAGACAAGGAAGATGGAACGTTTTCACAAGTGCTGGGTAGACCATCAGGCCTAGCAATTTCAAGACCAAAAGAGAGGGCCAATACATTTCATCTTGTTAACACAAAGATTTATGGGGTGGAGGAAGGTGTCTACTTGATTGGATCTGATACAGCTGCAGAGTGTCAGAACTAACTGGCAATCTTACCTGATGGGCCGAGTCTCCAGGTAACACCTATAGTTCATGGGCCTACATTCAATTGGTCAATCAGAATCAACCAATACAGGTTGTGAGGAATAAAGGAAAGATTTTATTCTAGTTTTGATTTCTGTCTGGAATACCACAAGCTTTGGGACACTTGATTCTGGGTGGATCAGAACGGCCCACCACTCTTTGACTTTGGATCATAGACTCAAGGTTGCAACCAATGCCTAAGTGCTTAGGTCAGTTACTCAGCTTTAATATTTTGATCTTTACTGTTCACTGCTTTTTATTGTACATCTCTGCACAATCTTTCAATAAATAATTTTAATTATATATAGTGGTGTTTCTGAACTTCGGGGCTTCAGTCTGAATCCTACATAGGCTACATTAGCTACAGCTTTAACCTACATTGGCTACAGCTACCCAAGTAACTTGTTGTGAAACTCCCCTTGTAAGTGTACAACATTGCAGGGTTGACTTCCTTGATCATAGTCTCAGAAGGGCTAGAGGCTTCATCCCTTGGTCTCCAGCTGTCTGAGTTGTTAAGAGGATGGGGTGTGCGGACTCACACTTCAGCACTTTCGTTGTGTAACTCCCATCACCTATAAGGGTGATGGATCTTGGCCTTTAAAGTCATTTGACATTTCTATACAAGGGTTTTACAATACTGGGCATTTAATTTTCAGTCCCTTTCCTAACAATCCCCAGCATGGAGTTTCCCCTTTATACAGCTGCGGTACACTGTGCTGACACTTCCACTGAGCTACCTAATACAACTCCAAGATCTCTTATCCTGTCATTCTCAGCCAGTTCAAACCACATAAGCATATATTTAAAGTCAGGATTTTTTTTATACCTTTGCACATCAGTTTATACATGCCTACAGAGGTCTTCATTTGCCGCATTGCTGCCCACTCACCCAATTTAGAGAGAGCTTCTTGTAGCTCTTCATAAGCAATCTTGGTTTTTGACATCCTGAATAATTTGGCATCATCTACAAACTTGGCTACTACACTTTGTTGTTCAGTCGCACAGTCGAGTCAGACTCTTCACAACCCCATGGACCAGATCACGCCAGGCCTTCCGGTCTTCCGCCGTCCTCTGAAGTTTGCTCAATTTCATGTTTGTTGCATCTATGACACTGTCTAACCATCTCATCCTTTGCTGTCCCCGTCTTCTTTGACCTTCAATCTTTCCCAGCATCAGGGTCTTCTCCAGTGAGTGCTCCCTTCTCATTTGGGGGCCAAAGTATTTGAGTTTCAGTTTCATTATCTGGCCTTCCAGGGAACGGTCAGGGTTGATTTCTTTTAGGATTGACTGATTTGATCTTCTTGCAGTCCAAGGGACTCTCAAGAGTCTTCTCCAGCACCATAGTTCAAAAGAATCTATTCTTCGGCACTTGGCCTTCCTTATAGTCCAACTCTCGCAGCCATACATGACTACTGGGAATACCATTGCTTTGATCATGAGGACTTTTGTTGGCAGGGTGATGTCTCTACTTTTTATCATGCTGTTTAGGTTCACCATCGCTTTCCTTCCAAGGAGCAGGCGTCTTTTAATTTCATGGCTGCGGTGATCTGGGATCCCAGGAACGTGAAGTCTGTCAATACTTCCACAACTTCCCCTTCAATTTGCCAAGGAGTGATGGGACTGGATGCCATGATCTTAGTTTTTTTGATGTTGAGCTTCAAGCCCACTTTTGC